TTTGGGAGGAACGGCAGCACGAGACGAGAAGGGGTTCTGGAAAGGCCAGCAAACCGATTCTCTCGCGAGACGCAAGAGGAGCACCCACCTGCAGCTGTTTGATCGTGTCCCCCCCTTTCCCAATGACCAGCCCCACTTTACTGGCTGGGATAAGGATCTCCTGAATGGCGCTGTTGCCATCCGGCTCGCTGTGGAACCCGGGGCCGTTCCGACAGCGGTCCACTATCTGTCCCAGCAGCCTCTTTGCCTGCCTGACAAGGGAAGGAGGGGGAAAAAAAAAAAAAGATCAGCCACTTCACATGACAACGGTCAACAAAGTACAGAAATGCCACAAGATGGATGGACAGTGCCTTAACCAACACATGTTCTAGTTAGGTGCGTGACTTTGGCTTCCTGAAATACAGTTGCTTCCATTTACCCAGCAGGCTTCGTCCTGCCACATTCCTGGGAAAGAACGCAGAAGGATCTTGTTTCAAAGACCTACAAGCTCCCCTGTGCAAAGCATGCTGGGATCCCTCCTCCCGCTGCTCTGTCCCAGTGTGCACACAGGGTAACATGCACAGCACTTTTTCTGCCAGAAACGGTAATGGGGATCTTAATTCAAGGCACCAATGTGAGGGATCTGACCACATTTTCATGCGAAGCTCCCTTTCAGTTGTGAATTTTGCTCAAGATCAGACATACCAAAGCTACTGGAGGAGACTCGTAGCACAGCCACCAAAAGCTGTTCGCTAACAAACCCTAAAACACAAGGCGACAGTAGGAGTGCTTCAGAATGGACAGCGAAACACAAACCAGAGGGTACAAGTGGAAACTACGTGGAAGTGCATGAAAACCAAAGGCATGATGATTTACCCAAAGGGGTGTGGGAGTATGGAACAAGCTATCTCGTTTGTAACCTTTCATAGCTTGCGGTGCCAGGCAAGACCAGCCGAGACTGCCTGGGTAGGAGCAAGAGGCACAAGACCTGTGACTTCGGGGCCAGAACTGCAGGAGTCCTTCAGGTTATAAAGCTCGGAGAAAATGCCTTTTCAGAGGGAAGCCCTTGGAGCGAAACCGCGGGACGGCACAGGACACGAAGCCCTCACGAACCGGAGCCGACAGAAGCTCCCGCGCCATCCCTACTGGTGGAACTGGACCAGAGGCAGCGCCCAGCGGACACCAGCCTCGGCGCTGCCAGCTCGTCTGCACAGGGCTCCGGTGACGTGTCAGCAGGTAGAGGAGCAGCTCACAGTCGTCGCCTGGCAACAAGGAGCTGACCAACAGGGACCCGCCCAGCAGGCGGGCAGGCGGGCGTGGCGGAGCGTCAGCGCAGGGGCTGCTCCACAGCCGCGACAGCCTGCCAACGCCGGGCCGGCCGGCCGCCCACGGGGAGTCGGGATCGCCCAGCGGGAAAAGGCCCAGAGCACGTCAGCAGGACGGACTAGCAGGGCAACGAGTTCAGGTGTCTGAGGGCGGCCCAGTCCACGAGGTAACTCTCCAATCAGAGCCCGGAGCTCGGGGCGCAGTGTTTAACCAGCTCCAGCTGGTCCAGGAGTGGCAGCACCAGAATAACCGAACAGAGCTGGTCGGCAAAGCCCGGTACCGACCCGCATGGAGTTTCAAACAGCATCTTTCGAGGCAAAAGGTAGAAAACTGACCTTGCCAACATGCCACAAAACTACCTACCGCGCGCAAAAGCAACACCAATAACCGCGCATTTCTGTTTCTGCAGGGCCAACCTATCTACATGAGTAGGGAAGCAAAAATAGCAAACAGGTCTCCTGTGAGCAAAGGTCCCAGCATGCAACGCTCAGGGTAGGTTGCAGATACGTGCCTTCAGCATTCTGGGTAATGTAGTAACACTAAGCTTGTTAAAAGGATGCCACCTGTATTTCGAAAGGAACGCGTTTTGGGGAAAATTAAACAGGTAAATGTACAACGAGAATGAATT